AACATCAATTTGAAAAACAATAAACTAAAAAGCAACCTAATCGACATTCTATTTTGTTTTTAATTGATTTATGTTTAATTACTTTGTATGACAATTTGTATTTGAATTTTTAAATAATTATTGTGTAATTTTGATTTTATATGACAATTTGTATGTTTTTATAATTATTCAGCAACTTCATCCATCACAATATAGAAAAACAAGGTGATATGATTATTTTTCATCATTCGCAGTCAGTTAGATGTACAATTAAACAACATGATTTTTTTCCTAATCAAAAAACTTTCTCATACAACACTTTCCTGGATAACAATTATCAAACGAGACCTTAGTCTTTTAGCCTTTTTTGGTTTTATAGAATATCTTTATAGTTTCAATTTCGGTTAGTGTCTTATTCATATATAAAAAAATTCATATCATTTTTTTTTATATTATTCTTAAGCTAATATTAGATTTTTAAAGAAAATAAAATAAATAAACGACCCTACCCCACCCCTTAGCTATCTCCTTTATTTCTCTTGCATTTTCGACCACCTCTTCACGATGGCCACCTCCTCATGACGGTAACCATCCTCGCCCACCCATATAAAATTTTTCCCTCTATAAATTAACAACACCCTTTGAAAATTTTGAAACCCACCAAATCAACAAAAAATATCTAAAAATAATCAAAACCTAAATTTTTTTTCCTCACTGCTCACCAACAGAAGATGAATCAGATCCAAAAAACATTAAACAACGCAACTAAAATTCATAATCACCAAAATATTGAACATATATAAACGGTGAAGGGGTGGAAGGTGGACAAATCGTTTATGAAGTTTTGTTTTATTTTACGCATTAGTAATCTCCTCCGCTACGTCGGCCGCAGGAATCAACGACTTGGATTGTGATGGAAAATCCCATCCTAATAGAATAACCGAATGGATTGTAAAACCACAATATTGGATGATGATTAAATACGTGTACTGAATCAAGATGTAAAAGTATGTATACATTAGTATTACCAGTATTACCACCCATAAATTGTGACTTAGATCCATACTGATACATAGGGCATACAAGAATAGAGTTGAACGATACACTATCAAAAGCAGGATAAAGTTCCAAAGAAAGACTAAGAGGAAATAACAATAATAGACAATATTGTTCTGTGATTGTATTTGTGCCCAAATATGTCAAAAGATTTGATTGATATTGTAACGTCCGTAGATCAGGGCTAGTTAATTAAGAGACGATAAACATCAAAAGTGATTTTTGATAAAATATTATTTAGAATGAATAATCTTAACTAGGTTGTAGTGGTCCTGACAAGGATTCTAGATATATAAAGAATGTCGAAATTGGAGTTATAACGAAGAAGTTATGACCTGTTGAAGTTTCGTGACCGAACCGGTACGACACTGTGTGACGTAAATAGTGAATTTACGATAGAGTGATATTTAGCCTTAGTGATATAAACAAAAGTAGTAGAATACATTAAACCGAGAGCGTGCATCAAAAGAACGTCTAAATCTGACTTCGTATGAGGAAGTTATGATTTTTCGAAGTTTCGGCTTAGCAATGTACAACCCGAAGTTTGAATATTAGATCAAGCAGTTTTTAGCCGACCCAACCTAAACGAGAAATGAAGATCTCGTTAATAGTAACGTAACAATAAAAAGACAGACAAAAACGGACGTCCGATGAAAGAGTTATGAAATTTTAACGGACCAATCCTGTCCCGGCCTGTTAACAATATAACTTTAAAAATAAAGTTAAAATTAGCCGACGGAGTCTAAACGAAATTTGTAGAGCATAGTCTCACCTACGCGTGGATATAAAAAAACGTCGAAAACGGAGCTAGTATGCAGAAGATACAAATTTTTGAATTTTTTAAATAGAAATAAATAAAAAAAATCTGAAGCTTATCCGACGGGAATGCCCTGCGTTCGCAATACCCGGCCACAGATTGGCCACATCGCCCTCTATTCACATAGCCCATCACTTCCAAAGCTCGGTAAGTAATGACGCATCCGAACACGTTGCGTCCAGGAATGCACTGCGTTCGTTCAAGGAACGCTCTACGTTCGGGGGCCAGACTCCTCCTATAAATAGGATGTGATTCCAGTCGTGTAAGGTTGCTACTTTCTTTCCTTTCACCCCCTTAAACTTTCTTTTACTTGGAAAATTATACCCCAGAAGCCCCGGTATCATCCCGAAACCTGAAGCAAGTCTCGACGCTACAAAGATCCCGAGAAAAAGAGTTTTTGAGTCGAAACTCTGTCCGCGAGAAGCCTGATTTTGGAGAAAACATCTTGGTTTCATCGGAAATGATTATTTTAAGAGACGAGGAGTTGTCCGATCACCGTCTTATCAAGTGAGTGTGTAGTCACTTTCTTGTAACACATAAATATGAAGTATTTGCTATGAAATACATGCTATGTGTTTATATATTGTTTGTTTAGTTGAGATGAGTGTGGAATGAATGTTTTATATAGTTTTTAAATGAGTTAAATTGTATATGTATTTTATATCTACAAATATGTTGGGTAGGACATCGGTATATGAGATAGTTGTGTGTGATAAAAGATGAGTTGGATAATGAGATAAAAGGGGATATAGATCTTAAGATGAGGGTGACAGGTGAAAAATGAGTGAAACCTTTACCCAAACGATGGCCCTGCCATTCAACAGAGTAAGGATGATAACCACTGACTATTCTAGACAGTCCAATGGAGCACTAGCAGACTCGCAACTTGTAGGTGTTGTGGACCTGATGTTCACCGGTGTACTCTAAAAACCCATTGATATGTATTGCTAGAGGAGTCTTGGAACCAATACTGTCAATAAACGAGATAAACCCCGACGACTATGGAGTTAGCGCTTGGTAACTACGAATATAGTGTCTATTGAGAAAATCCTGCCAATGATGGATTTCATACCGATTCCTTAGGATAATCCTTAGGAATAAATGAACGAGGAATAGTTGTTTCTTAGGGTAGATCCTTAAGGTTAAAGAAGATAATGGGGATGGGTAATTAGGTTGATTGTTTGATGATTAAATATAATAATTATATTATTGTGGGTTGAAAACCCTATATGCACACCGGGCTCCGAAGCTTGACCCACTCAGTTTTTTTTGTATCACAGTTAGTGGCACAAGAGCATAATTCGGTTGACATGTCGAGAGATTTTGGATTATAGATCAGTAGTTATAAATAACTATTGTAAGGTCTATTTTATATTGTTTATGTTTTTTGTCTGTATCGGAACATGACATCTCGAGATTTTGTTGTTTAATAAAAATACGTTTCTTTTAAGAAATGTTTTGATAAAATCTTATCATATTTTGTTTTGGTAACAAATTCCGCAACTCTTTTAATCAAAGGATTACTCTGATTTTATGAAACAAAGCATAAACAAATCGGTCTTTTTTGGCCGTGAAAATGGGGATGTCACAGATATGGATGCTGCATGGTGTCTTGGAACTCATTCTACTTCTTTCAGGTTCCATAAAACTTAGTTTGGTGTTCAACATCATGTATAACCGGAACATTAGTATTGGAACCAAATTCTTGAGGGGGAATGTTAAAGTAGTTTTCTAGATTTGTAACCGCTTAATTCCCAATCGATTGCACCTGCGGAACACTATGTACAACAACTCTACAATATGATTTTAGAAAGTCATGTTCTTTTGAGCAACTGTATCTCAAATAAACTCTCGAAAGGAAAAAACAAGTCATCGGAAAATTCATGATCAATACTTCTCCGCCTCCTTAACCCTTCCAAAGCAGCGAATCGTCACCACCACCACTTACCACTACTATTGCATCAGTGACGGTTCTGAAGTTGGATCCATATTATGAAGTTGAATTTGCAATTTAAGTGTATCATATTTTATCTTTTCAAAATTCAAATTCCTTTGCCTTTTCAACTCTTCATCTTAACGAATGTATTGCAGTGGGTTTCCAAGCAACCTTTTTCTCCTGATAGCATACAATCGAACTAATTTGCTCGACTTGCAAATATAAGAGAATGGGAGGAATAAGGTGGTGGGTAAATAGAGGTGGTTGGGGGTTGCTATTTATTTTCTTTTAAATAATTTTAATTATAGAAAAATTAAAAATAAATTAAAAGGTGTAAATTAGTCATTTCATATGGGTTATTGACTAACCACGATAGAAATTGAAATCATAAGGACCTTCTATGAGACTAAAACTGGTTAGGGACTAAAACCTAGAATCTAAAAATCCATATGGACCATTTCTGAAGTTTTGTATTAATTTAAGCATACTTTCCTAAACAAATATGGTCATTTCTATAAATGTGTGCGTGTAAAGGAAATGGATGTAAAAAATATCACATGTCTCATTTTATGTAACCTGCCATAAAAAAAGCCAACATAAATGAATATATCCATGGACCTGACATAAGGTACTTCCAATAGAGAAGAGAATGTGTGAAGGAGTTATGGAGAAGTCTTCATTTGTCGCTCAATGTATTAAACCTTGAAAATGATCTTTTTTTTTTTTTTTTGTGGAATTTAGATGTTGTTGGTGAGGAATTGTCTACTTTTTGCACATATATTTACAATTTTGATGGAATCTTTCAACTCCCAAAAGAGATGAAATGTAGCAAATGAGTCCATATATTGATTTTGCATAATTTATTACAAAAATAGTGATTATGTTTAAGTATGTTGAAACGCTTGATGTTTGTTTTGTGTTGTTTGCATTTTCCAGGTCGAAGCCCAATGATATGATGTGTTTATCTCCCTTCTTGAGGAAAGGGTTCAAACCCCCCTAGTGTGTATGTGAAATTAGTAGTACTTTAGGAGTTGATTAGATTATCCATTTTAAAAGAATAAGGAATCTATGTTTGAAAGGATCAACTACAAGTAAAAATACACTCACTTTATAATTATAATTGGTTTTCATAAATTGAAGAACATAATGTGATTACTATGTAAAAGATTTCTTAATTGTGAGTTACAACGTACGATAATATCATACTAAAACCTTTTATATAGTTAATTCATATGATATATAATACTAACAAATTATAAACCTAGTCATAAAAACCAAAATAAATCATGTGCACTCATGCAATCTCTAAACTACTAAACTGTTAAAATACAATCTTTTACATTTTATTAGTCATAGTAAAAGAAATGGACTGAAAACTACAACACAAGCCTACCATAATCTAAAAGACCAAAGGGGAGGCGAGATACACCATTGAAGCAATGACAATTGATCTTAACGTTATCTTTAGTGGCATTCTTCCATGGTCATTCCTAATGAACATGGCTTCATAAATAGGCCAACTATTTAAAACTCCAAAACCCGCCAAAAAGAGTTGTACAAATAAGTCCTCGAATCCTCCATTCTTAATTATTTTTATAATCCCACCCATTAACGCTACAAGGTTGACCAAAGCAACCACTGATATAGGGTAAAAGAAAGGCGATTCGACTCCAAATTCCATCATTCCTTTATCATATCTTGTATTGGCTTCTTTATCAATCACTTTGTTTGTCACATTAAATGTAGAAGAAGATACATGTAACTTCGTTAGCGTATACTCGATTACTCCAAAAATATAGCTTGAAAGAGATCGAATGATCCATGCCCTTTGGTTATTAAACCAACCTCGTGGAGTTCCACCTCTTAGTATGAACTCAAATAATTCTTGACAATAGGCTCCTATGAATGAGAAGATATATAACAAACACCATGGATCTGAAACCTGTATAATATATCGGATTTCAAGTAGTTAAAATCTAATTAACATGTATTTGGAACTCATTTTTATGATTTTTAATCGATAATACAATCATGATACCTTAGGAAAAAGTGGAAAAGATTGGATGATGGCTAATTGAGGTAAAATGGAATAGATAAAAAGCGGGATGCACCAAATGGGCCAAAAGGCATAATGAAGGTAACATAGGGTTTGCAAAAAGGGTAATATTTTGGACCCATAGTTAATTGGGTTGTACTCGGAAAAGGCCATATCTAAAACCCCCATTGACCATCTTTGGGTTTGATTGAGCAAGTCATGAAGGTTCATGGGTGCATCCCCTAAGAACGCTGGTCTTTTTGGTAAACAAAAGACGGACCTCCATCCTTGACATTGAAGAAGATATCCTGTGTAAAAGTCCTCCACCAATGATCCATATCGATAGCCTAACTATACAACAACAAAGCAATTTAGCTATTGTATAATTATAAGTGTTAGATATATGTGAAGTCTTTGGTATACTCTTCAACATAACTCTTATGGATAGATGGGTGACACCAACATTAATTGAAATGTGTGATATACTAACAATAACATATTATAGCACAAACTTTATATACATACCCTGGAGCCCCATTCGGTTTGAGCCTCAAAATCACATCTAGCTACCTCATGCGCCCGAGCCAACACTTCATTAGATTGGATTGCTTGTTTTTCATTTTGACTTTGACTTTGTTCAAATGTACATGATGGGGGTTTTCCATAAAAGGCCCCTCTTCTAAAGAAACACCCAGTGCCAGCATGAGAAGGGCCTACTAAACCATCAAAACCGGTCATATTGATTTGGAATATGAATTTAAATTCAGCACCGTATAAGTCCTCTTTATTGATCCCATGAAATAGTTGAGGATATTGGATATAAGCTATGTTTTGAGAATCTTTTGAAGGGTCTAAGAAGTAACACAATGCTTCTAGTGGTGTTTTTGGGTCATTTGAGTACATATCACAATCCATAGTCAGGACAACTGGTGCATTTGTCATGGTATGTGATACACGAAGCTGAAACAAACAAGAGAAACATTATACAAGTATTTACATATTACACAAATTTGAAAAGACATGCGAATAGTTACGTAATTTTACCAAAACATTAAGAGCACCAGCCTTAAATCTGTGAGGTGTGCCTTTGCGTTTCTCACGCGAGACATAAATAAGGTTTGGCATCACATTACCTTGGACATCGTTGTCTATAGTGCCATTTAACAAAACCTGTTCACATCATACATTAGCATTGTGGCATTTATCTTTTGCAATATCTAGATACAAAAAACTACATAGAAAACACATGTTATTATATATGAATCTTAAACGATTAAGATAATATTTATACAACCACATATTTTTCTTTTACGAACTTATTTAACATAAAGAACTTTTTACACTGACCTTCACAATAATGTTTAATACATTCTCAAAATTTCTTTTACCAATCCAAATAATAAATTTCATCTTTTATGAACAATTTATATATGTAAAAAAATTATGGATCTGTATTAACGAATTAAAACATAATTAAATAATTTATATAAAAATTTGTTTTGTTATATAGATCTACGAACGTTATATCTCATCCTCCTTAATAAATGAAAGTTTTTTTGCCACATGTCTTTTTCTTCTTCATCTGAACATATGACATTTTCTAGAATTATTGAATTTTTTTATTTTCCACTTGTCATTTTATTGTATTTTTCATTTTATTAAATTAAAATTCCACATTTAATATGTAATGCAATATATATGTAAGGTATTTATTAGAAATGATTTATATATTTAATGTATTCAATGTATTAAAGCCTTATTAATTTTAATAATTTAAATTTTTTCTCATTATTTTTATAAATTCAAACTTTTCAAATTGTTAAAATTTCATATATATATATATATATATATATATATATATATATATATATATATATATATATATATATATATATATATATATATATATATATATATATATCATTGTTGTAAAAATCCCGATTAGGTCCCGAATAATCTCCGATTAATCTCTAGGCGCTACTTGACCAATTAGAGAGCATCTAGCGATTAATCCATGCATACAAAATGATTGAAACAGTAGAAACCGATGAAATTTTAACACATAGAATAAGTTATATCTCAATAGAAGCTATGTGAGGTATGATTGATGTTGTGTTTATCATATTAACCTATTTTGTTATGATATTAGTGATATTTATGAACTTTTATATGATATTAGTCATATTTAATTTTTTAAAATCTAACAAATTAGCAATTAATGGTCTCCGATTAATCTCCGTCTAGCCGATTAATCCTTTGACCCCAGTCTACCAACTAGCTAACGTAGAGCGATTTTTACAACTTTGATATATATATATATATATATATATATATATATATATATATATATATATATATATATATATATATATATATCGAGTCTTAATCCGACAGAAACCCAAAATTGGTAAGAACTGCGATGACTATTTTTCACCAATCATTTCATCAATATCACAAATATGAAACCCATTTACTTGGTCGTGACACGTTCGCATGCGGCGCACGTGCATGAAACATAATACGAATTCGAGGAAATAATCATGTGTGACAAATGTTTATGGAATGTCATTTAAATTGGGTTTTCTTTTCTTGTTCATTTTTTTTTGGTTTTTTATTTTATTTTATTTATTTTTTGTTAAGAAAAAATTCAATTCTTTTAAATAGATATACACTTGATTTTAAAGATTTTTCGTTGATTTATTTTTTTAATTTTTTTTTTTGATTATCTTTACTACATGTTGAAGATAGTAGAGTTTTTTTATTATTATTTTTTTTTTTAATTTTTTCTACTTTTAAAAAAAATTAAATATTAGTTTGAGTTTTAATGTTTAATAATTATAAAATTTTAAAAGCAGAATATTAAAGCTCATAATATTTTTCGTTCATATATTTTTTTTAAATCATATTATTTTTGTATCATAAACTTTTGAATCATAACAATATTATACATCATACATTTTTTGAACATATTAATTTAGATCAAAATATATTGAATTAAATAAAGTTTTTATTCAATACAATATTCGGATCATTATATTTTTTCAATCATTTAATTTTGAATCATCAAAAATATAATAATTAAGAATCATTAAATATTTAAATCAAAATATTTTTAGATCATAACAAGTTAAGGATCCTAAACATTACTGAATCATAATATTTTAAATCATTTCTATTTGCATCATATTATGTTAAATATATATTTTTTTTAAAAACTTAAAATTTTTTAAAGTAAATTTTGGTATCTAAAACAACTTATTTTTTATATATTCTTTTTACAAAGTCATTAGAATATTGAGTAAAAGTATTCCTTCAATTTTAATAATTTTTGGAGAATTTTTTTTCTGAGCTTTTTTATAACTATAAAAAATACTTTTTAATTTTTTTTTATGATTGTGCTCATTTTGTAGAGAATTAAATTTTAAGAACTTTGGTTTTTTTATATTTTTTTATTCAAAAAAAAAAGTTATGACCGAAAAACTAAGCATATAAAAAAGTTATTATTATTATTATTATTTTTTTGTTTTTTAATATTTGTGGTACATACTTGAAGATAATAGATTTTTTTTTAATTTTTTTTAATTTTTTTTAAAATTAAATGTTGCTTCGAGTTTTATTGTTTAACAATTATAAAATTTAAAAAAATGAATATTAAGAATCATAATATTTTTCCTTCATATTTATTTAATCATATTATTTTTGTATCATAAAATTTTGAATCATAGTAGTTGGAATCATAACGATATTATGCATCATACATTTTTGGAACATATTAATTTGGATCGTAATATATTAAATTAAATAAAGTTTTTGTTCAATACAATATTTGGATCATTATATTTTTTGAATCATTTAATTTTCAATTATAAAAAATATAATAATTAAGAATCATTAAATATTTGAATCAAAATATTTTTAGATCATAACAAGTTAACGATCCTAAACATATTGAATCATAATATTTTTGAATTATAAATATTTTCAATCATCTTTATTTGCATCATATTATGTTCAACATGTTTTTAATAAACTTTTAATTTTTTAAAATAAAGTTTGGTTTCTAAAACACCTTATTTTTTAAAAATTCTTTTTACAAAGTCATTAGAATAATGAGTAGAAGTATTCCTTAAATATTTATAATTTTTAGAGAATTTTTTTCTAAGTTTTTTATAAACATAATATATATATATATATATATATATATATATATATATATATATATATATATATATATATATATATATATATATATCATGACTTGTGAGAATTAAATTTTAAAAACTTTAGTTTTTTCAGATTTTTTTAAAGAAAAAATTGTTATGTTCGAAAAACTAATAGGTGGAAAATAACTCACCAACCAGAAAGCTACACTTGATAGAGAAAGAAAGACCACCTGGATTGGACACGTGTAGGAAGCTGGTGGCCCCTTTTCAAATGCTGAAATGTCCCTCTCGCCTATCCGAATTTGCTTTCTTAACCCCCATAATTTCTAATTTTTTCAATATTAGTCCTTATTCTTTTAAGAGTTTAATATTTGTACACTTTAAATCTTAGCCACTCATTTTTCCAAAGTACTGGTATAGATATCCTACTTTTATATATATATATATATATATATATATATATATATATATATATAATATATATATATATATATATATATATATATATATATAGAGGGAAGGTTTATTTGTAAAACAAAAAAACCCTAAAAATCATAAAAAATGCATAAAAATTACCTAGACATTACAAAAAAAAAAATTTGAATTTTTTTATCAATAAATCGCAGCCTTTTTGACAATTTCGTTGGAAAAAAAAATTAAAAATCAATTTTTTTTGTGTAATTTTTTTTCAGTGGTTTTATATTAAAAGCTGCGATTTTTTGATAAAAAAAATTCAAAAAACGTTTTGTAATCTCTAAGTATTTTTTTATGTATTTTTATGATTTTTAGGGTTTTTTGGTTTTCCATAGAACCTAAACCTATATATATATATATATATATATATATATATATATATATATATATATATATATATATATATATATATAATATATATATATATATATATGGCAAAAGTGAACATGTGAGTGTTATGTATGTAATATTAGGTATAGAACCATCTAAATTAACATAAATTTGATTAAAAACATAATTTTCTTTCACTGTTAGTTTCTTATTGTTTTTGAATTCATATTATTTTTTATTTTTTAATTCAATCCTAACATCCGTGCATTTCGAATTTGTTTTTTATTAGACCTCTAGTAGAAACTTCATAACATTC